GCATCGCTTCTAGTAACAAGTGCCTTACTAGTAGTAACAAGAAGCTAGTAGAAACAAAAACCAGTTGAATTGTCGTTGCAACTGCACTGGCTCTCCCTTCCACCATAGTATCCTTCTCGATCACGGTGGCCAATTTTCCGACTAACAGTACCCTTATGTCTGGAGGCATAGGGCGCCTTTGATCTTCAGTCGTCCCACGCGCTATTAGGTTGGAGGCCATCGCTAGTAGGTTGGACGCTACAGCTACAGCTTCTCTTCTACTTTGCAAGTTGTACCTCTGAGTTTCCTCCTCATCTCCGGATAGGGCGCTTTGGATCTTCGGTTTGTACCACGCTTGCTGCAAAGGGGAATTCCTAAGACTATATCATTGAAGGAGCAGCGAACGGTCTTTCGAGCCGAGCTGCTGATTTTGAACAAAACTTTCAGGGGAATCTGGACATGCAGTTATACATCTCCGAAAGTTAAGTTTCCCAAAAACTCTAGGAACCAAATGATTAGCGTGAGCTGTACTCCGTCCTAGGTAGTAGCGTACTTCGTAGCTAGTAGCGATGGGGGGGGAGCGGGCTAAAAAAGACAAAAAGAACAGAACAACGCATGTATACCAACCCTGGCAAAAACAGCCAATGCGCAGTCTGGACCCTCATCTCTCATCCCTTGGCTCATTTTTCACCTTCGTCCGCCCAATAGGGGGAGGCATCGGCATCCGCGTGCTCCGCCTTGCGAGAGGAAAGCAGGATTTTCTGGGAAATCAGATGGACAAGTGTATGGCATATTCTTTACCAGAAAGGGGTTGGGAAACTCCCTGCAGCAAAGCTGCACGTTTGTTTCTTCTTCCGGGCTACTACCATGATTGAACACATGAATATACACGTGCTGCTTGGGCAGATGTTGAACCACCTTTCACCACTGCTCTACACCACTAGGACAAGGGTTTTTCTTCTGGACGTTTTAAATTGAAAACCCTTCTCCGTAGATTCCTGCAAGTCATTAGTTTCACTTGATACCGTTGAATTTCCTCCCTCCAAAGCCGTTTCAAATGCTATAAATTTTAGAGAGGGCGATTATTGACCGTCCCACACTGGTCACGCGAAATGGACAGAATTCGACCCGGCAAGAAGAAGAACACTGTCTTCCTCCTGAAGTAAGGGGGCAACGAGGCAAGCCATCGTGCCGTCAGCTGAAATAGTCACTTGCGGGCTGGAGTGGGCATGGGCTCAATAAACTAATAAGTGGTACCCAGGAGGGAGCTAAGGAGCAGGGGGGATCCATGTTCCCATTACACAGAGAGCCAATAAATACGTACCTGCGAGGCCATCAGTGTTTGTACAACAAAAGCCAGTTGCTTTCCCAAAGCATCACGACTTGTAGCCTGTTTTGCAAGCCCTGGAGTGCAATATTTGGACTTTCTGTTGTTCATTGCAATCCTTGCTTGCGTAGATACATCTTTCCGTTTTCCGAAAAAGAAACAAACACTGCCGGATGAATGCTCTTTAGCACATTTATATCAATAAATTAGCTACTAGGAACAAGAAACTACTAGGGGCTCCTGGCATCGCTACTAGGAGCAAGGACGCTACTAGGGGCTCCTGGCCTTATCAACTTTTCGGATTCTTTGTCGATACAGTCTTTACAGATCTTTACAGTCTTCTTTGCTGGGTCATACCGCCAAATACGGCAGGACCAGTTCTTGACTTTGATCATACGGGTGAAATTAGTCAACTCCGCTGTGATCAAAAGCAAGCGATTAACTATTCATTTGCCCCTCGGAGTCACCCAATGGTTGCAACACCGGCATTTTGTGCTCCCTTTCTGGGTGTGGTAGCAACTGTCACCATGACCCCTTCCAATTAACGGGTCTTCGGCGGATGTCGCAAGGATCGTTGCCGCGCAACGACTGCCTTCAGCAACGGCTCGGCTAAAGCCATAGAAGGTTCTTTTTGCGTTGCAAGCAGGTGAAGCTAGTGCAAAACTCAACTGGAAAGCATTTTAGTGCCTAGTTGAGTTGGTCTTCCGTGGTTGCTCTTTTCGACTGTGGTGCGCTTTCGACGGTTTCTTCGTGAAACTGCATCAGTTTGACGGCAAAAATGCTGCAAAGGACGGAGCCGTTTTGTTACTAGTAGTAACAAGTGCATCGCTAGTAGTAACAAGTGCCTTACT